GTAAATGGTCTCAGTCAGGAAGCAGTAGATTGCAATCATGATGAGGAGCACGGCCAACTTAAGGACCGAATTGAGACGGAGAAACACGGCACAGGTCACCATAGCCAGGATACCAGTAAAGACGAAATACTTTATAAAAAAAAATTGGGAGAAACATCAGCCTTTACCTCAGTGACCTAAACTAATATATTCAAAGTCTCACACAGAATCACAAGTCCTTCAAGATGGCTATTATATCTCTCCTAAGCCTTCTCTTTGTTAGCAATAGCATTTAGATGTTATATACTGCTCCACAGTGCTTTTACAGCCCTTTATAAGCAGTATACAGAGTCAGCCTTTTGCCCCCAACAATCTGGGCCTCATTTTACCCATCATGGAAGGATGGAAACCTGAGTCAACCTTGAGCCTGGTGATTCGAACTACCAAGCTGCTGGCAATCGGCAATCCACAGAATTAGCCTGCAATATTGCATTCTAACCACTGCACCACCATGGCTAAGCATACCTAGTTCCCTTAGCCGTTCGTCATGTGATCTAACCTCCAGACCCTTTATCAACTTCATTGCTCTAGTCTACATTCTTGCTAGGGCCTCATAATCTCTTTTTTAAAATAGAGAGTTTTAATCAACATCATTAGACTATAAATGAGAATCTGCAGGAAAAAAATGTAAAGGGATTTCTCCGCTGACATATATGTCTGTGGAGATTCTCAGTCATCCAGGTCATGGTTGTCCCAAAGATGCTTTTTCAGGAGGCAACTGGACTTTCTGGTTTTTCTTTGAAGACATTTCACTTCTCAAAAGCAACTATGATCTTATAGACAGTGATTTCTCATCCCTTGATTGGCAATCTCTATTCACTGGATGCAATACTGTAGAAGACCATTACAACATATTTTTACCTGAAGTCAAAAGAGCTATCGAACTATATGTACCAATAACAACTCCCAAAACCAGAAAAAACAGATTACCCATAACAATGAGGAAGCTTCAATCCAAAAAGAGATCACTCTGGTGGAAAAACAAATCTGGTCACGTTGCCAACTTCAAAAGTCGATACAAAAATTTATGCTACAAGATAAAGACTGAATGTACCAATTATCACATTAAACAAGAGGAAAACTTTCTATGCACTAATTCCACGCATGCTTTCTACAATTTTGTAAACAACAAACTAAAAGACTCAAGGTCCATCCAACCCCTGAAAGGACCTAATGGTAAAGACTGCAATGATGAACACCATTAAAGCCAACCTCTTTAACACATTCTTTGGCTCAGTATTTGTAAACAGCAATGGATCATGCCCACTATTTCCTAGTTGAACCACAGACAACTACAATGATCTAATACATATCGATTTTACAGAAGACATTGCTGAAAAAGCACTACACAATCTAAAACCGTTTCTATCTATTGGACTGGACAAAATATGTGTCTACTTCTTAAAAAAGCTATCCACTGCCATAGCCGAACCTCTAAGCATAATCTTTGAAAAATCTTTCAGGACCAGCTCCTTGCCAAAACTATGGTCACAAGCCATGCTCTACCCCATCTTCAAAAAGGGAGACCCCAGCTGAGTTGAAAATTACAGATCAATCTCTTTATGCTGCATCACCTGTAAAGTCATGGAATCAATTATTAACCAATCCATTATCCTCCACTTAGAGACAAACAACCAATTCTCTAATAAACAATTTGGTTTCAGAAAAAACAATTTGGTTTCCTGTAATCTGCTACTCTTACACTGCAAAACATATGGACTACACAACTCGATCAGGGCAAAGCAATAGATGCAATCTACATAGACTTCTGTAAAGCCTTTGATTCAGTGGTACACGACAAACTACTAAAACTAAAATCTTATGGTATCTCTGGACACCTACATAACTGGATAGAAGCATTCCTGTCAAACAGACAACAAATGGTCAAAATTGGGAACGTCCTATCAAATTCTGTACCTGTCAACAGTGGTGTCCCCCAAGGCAGTGTTCTAGGACCAACTCTCTTCATACTCTACATAAATGACCTCTGTGATCATATTAAGAGCAACTGTGTTCTCTTTGCTGATGATGTAAAGCTATTAACACCACCGACAATACTGCTACCCTTCAAAAAGACCTCGACGATGTATCAGAATGGTCAAACAAATGGCAACTTCAAATCTCAACAGATAAATGCTTTGTCTTACATATTGGCAGAAAAAATCAGAAAATAAAATAAAAGCCAAATAGTCAAGACCTTGTTGATGATCCAAGCTCTGTCAAGGACCTTGGAATACTTATCTCTAATGACCTAAGTGCTAGAGCCCACTGTAACTACATAGCCAAAAAGGCATTAAGAGTTGTTAACCTAATCCTGTGTAGCTTTTTCTCCAGTAATTTCACACTATTAACTAGAGCATACAAAACATTTGCTAGACCAATATTCGAATACAGCTCGTCAGTCTGGAACCCACATTATGTATCTGATATTAACACAGTAGAGAAAGTCCAGAAATATTTCACAAAAAGAGTTCTCCACTCCTCTACTCATTGTAGAATACCTTATGCCACCAGACTTGAAATTCTAGACCTAGAAAACCTAGAACTATGCCACCTTCAGTCCAACCTAAGTATGGTGTATAAAATCATACATTGCAATGTCCTACCTGTCAATGAATACTTCAGCTTCAACCATAACAATACAAGAGCACACAATAGATACAAGCTCAAGGTAAACCTCACCAAACTTGATTGCAGGAAAAACGACTTCAGCAACAGAGTGGTCAGTGTCTGGAATACTCTACCTGACTCTGTGGTTTCTTCCCCAAACCCCGAAAACTTTCACCTTAGACTGTCTACTATTGACCTCAACCCATACCTAAGAGGTCTGTAAGGGGTGTGCATAAGCGCACCATCGTGCCCACCATCCCTGTCCTATTGTTTCTTTTATTTTTCTTATATGTATCCATTTCATGTATTCATGTATTCATCCAATAAGCTTCTTCAGCTCTGACTTCCCTTCCCCACCATCCAGTGAGAGCTGAAGAAGCTTCTTGGATAAGAAGTGAAACATCTTAAAAGAAAAACCAGAATGTCCAGTTGCCTCTTGAAAATGCATCTTTGGGTCTGCTGACATCTACAACAGCTGAAGACTTTTGGAGAGTTCTTGAGAATGTACGAATCTGCTGAAGTTACTGAATCAGCCCTAAAAGTCAACTGCCAGAAGGCCTTCTACCACGATAGGATTATTAATCACTGAAAATTTGATTTTTGTAGATGTTCTCTCTTATATAGGAGAATTATATAGGAGAATTCCTGCATTTTAAGGTTGGAATATCATGTTCTTGCCTGCTGGTGTTTTGGACTATACTCCTTATATACCTTGGCAGTAGACCATGCGTACTCCAGAACATTGGGGAGCACTAGGATGCAAATGGTAGCGTTTAGAGAAAGTTTGGAAGGGATCTTTCAAACCCACTTGAAGTGAAGCAACATGATACAAGGGGTCCTCGACTTTTGATCGCCATTGAGGCCAAAATTTATGTTAAGTGAGACATTTTAAGTGAGTTTTACATGGTTGTTTTTTTTTTGTAAATTTTATTAGTTTTTAAAAATAAACAGACAAAACATAAAAATATAAAAATTTCTTCCATAGGTATACAAACAGTGTGCCGGTTGGTTTACAAATTATTTTGTGCCTCCATTTCGTAGTCTTCAATTACAGTTACATTACATAAAAGCTCATATTATCAATCAAAAATTAAATACCCTAGTATCATTATTAATCAATCATTTGACTATAGTTTTATTCATTCATATTTTACGAGATAACCATAATTTACTTAGTTTATTTTATAACAATTCATATTATCTTCCCAAATCTATCCTAAAAACATTTTGTAGATACAATAAAAAAGAAGTTACATCTTTATATATTTATTATTTTCTAAAAATATATATATTTCATTACTGTATTTTATTATCTAACCACTGATAGAAAAGGTCCCAAATTTTATAAAATTGTTTATCCTCTTGTTCTCTAATTTCAAATGTCAATCTACTTATTTCAGTACATTCCAATATTTTCTTATGAGTTTTACATGGTTGTTAAGTGAATCACAGAGGTGATCATGTGACCCCTGGGACACTGCAACCATCATAAATACGAATCCGTTGCCAAGCACCTGAATTTTGATCAGGTGACCATAGGAATGCTGCAACGGTTGTGATAAAATGGTCATAAGCAGGAATGGGCTGCTGGGAGTTCGCAGGGGTTTGGCAGAGCCCCTAGCTAAGATTTTGTGCAGTTCAGAGAAGATTCAAATCCCACTCCTGGCTGGTCTGCCCACCCCAACCCTCCCAGGAGTCCCCACATGGCCTGTTTTAGATGCAGGTAAGTGCAGGGCGTGCACAGAGGCTTGGGGAGGATGAAAGATGGGCCTCCCAGAAATTCAGGAAGGCTGGAAATGGGCCTGTTTCTGGCTTCCAGAGAGCCTCCAGAGCCCGGGGAGGTTGTTTTCACCCTCCTGGAGGCTCAAGGAAAGCCTCTGGAGCCCGGGGAGGGCAAACACCCCCCCACCCCCCCGTGGTGCAGGAGGCTGACTAGGCCACACCCACCATGGCCATGCCCACCCAGCACCCGGGCGGAGAAACCTTGGCTAAATGTTTTGAAGCCTACCCTGGGCATAAGTCCCTTTTTTTCAGTGCCGTTGTAACTTGAAACGGTCTCTCAACGAACTGTTGTAAGTCAACAACTACCTGTAGTTTACAGCGTCACTGAAGTAAAGCTTTGCTTTGAAGTTTCACATCATCCTAAAGTTTGTTATCTCACCCATCATTACCTAGCCTAACATATGGTGTTGTTGTTTTTTTCTCCATGCAAAATGATATGTTTAGGATTACCTCTGGATACGAGCAAATATCTGTAAAATATACCGAAGAGTTGAAAGTTACATTCTTAAAAGGCAGTTGTTTGTCCAAGTCACACCAGAGCTGTGGACAAAGAAAAGAAAGAAAAATAAGACAATGCAATGCAACTATTTTGTAGAGTCTGTGTTGAGAAATGAAGGACGAAGAATACTTGATTGGGCAAAGAAAAAGAAGAAGACAATCGTATTAATGCCTCCAACTCTGTAAGAATACTCTGGAATAAAGAACCACTTAGGAAAAGCAGAAAAATAACCCTGTATCTTTTTTTAGAAGTCATATACTGAGGGCAATAGCAAACAACTCTTTTGAAATGACAAAGAATCTGTAGTCCATGGGTTTATAAATTGCTTGCATTGGAAGACATCTTAAAAGGATCGTCACACAAACATATTACAAAGCAAACCAGACAGTTCCCGGTTTTTATTCTCTCTCTGGGAATTTTATGAGGCTCGTGGTTATCCTTTCTTTCCGTTGCTGTATGTTTCTAGAACTGGGATTCCAACCTCCACCCCTTGTATTATGGCAGATTTCTATTTTAATATTTCAAAAATATATATTAAAAGAGTGTTTTGTTTTATGTCACACACTCTTGTGAAATGAGTGGCTGTATAAATGAGTGGCTGTATAGATGTTAAATAGATGATAGATAGATAGATAGATAGATAGATAGATAGATAGATAGATAGAT